TGGGGACCTGAACGGCCATCACCTGGCCTGGGGTTGTCCAAGAGCTGACCCACGAGGGGTCACCATCTGCGATATTTTTGAGGAGGAAGATTTAGTCATCCTAAATGACGGGGGCCCGACGTTCTTTAACGGACGGCACACCACCGCCATCGACGTGTCCGCAGTTAGCCGCTCCTTAGCGAGCAAAATGCTATGGGGCATCAACCCGGATCTGCACGGCAGCGACCACTATCCGGTACAGATCCGGTTATTCGCCGTAATGGCACCGGAGAACACCAGAAGACCACGGTGGCGGTATGGAGAAGCCGACTGGGAGGGCTATCAGCTCTCTTACCGAACTCTCGCGCAGACTGAAGAACCTACGGACATCCCAAGTATCACGGGAGTCATCCACAAAGCAGCCAGCACCAACATCCCAAGAACAGGCAGTATTCCCGGGCGGAGGGCACTCCGATGGTGGAATGAAGACACGAAAAGTGCTGTAAAAGCCAGGCGGAAGGCACTCCGTAAACTCAAGCGAACCTCTACGAACGACCCTGCGAGAGAGGAAATCCTCGCAAACTACCGCCAGCAGCACAACAAATGCCGACAGGAAATCCGGACGGCGAAGCAAAATAGCTGGTCGGATTTTCTGGAAAGCATCAACGACGAACAATCGTCAGCAGAACTGTGGAGCCGCATCAATGCCCTCAGCGGCAAGCGGCGATCATCGCCGCTACAAGTGCAAGCCGACACCGTTACCATCACCGAACCAAACGCCGTAGCAGATGAACTGGGAAAATACTTCGCCAAACTATCAGGAATCGCGGAGTACAGCGAAAGTTTCCAACGACGAGTCGGTCCTTCGCTGTCCTCGGTGCCCACTTTCGGAATTCCCACAGACAACGACGACCTACCGATCAACCAACCATTCTCCTGGGAAGAATTCTCGTTCGCTCTTAGCCGGAGCAACGGAAACTCGGCCGGACCGGATGAAATCGGATACCCACTGCTGAAGCATCTACCGCTCGAAGGGAAAACACAATTGCTCGAACTCTACAACCAGCTATGGACCAACGAAGAATACCCGGACAAATGGAGGGAAAGTCTCGTGATCCCGATCCCCAAAACAAATATAGGGACCAAGGACGTCACAGGATTTCGCCCCATCGCGCTGACCTGCTGCATGGCCAAAGTCTTGGAGCGGATGGTCAACAGAAGGCTCAAGCAATACCTGGAGTCTAAGGGACTGCTTGACCATCGACAGCACGACTTCAGGCAAGGGTACGGTACCTCCACCTACTTCGCCACTCTTGGAGAAGTCCTGAAGGAGGCACAGGACCAAGGCCATCATACGGAGATCGTCTCGCTGGACATCTCCAAAGCATTCAACAGAACGTGGACACCAGCAGTAATGAAGAAGTTAGCCGAATGGGGACTAAAAGGACGCATCCTACACTTCGTCCGAAACTTCCTGACCGACCGATCTTTTCGGGTGTCGGTCGGAAACGTCCAATCCAGAAGGTTCAGCGAAGAAACCGGAGTACCACAGGGTTCGGTGATCGCGGTCACCCTCTTCCTGGTGGCCATGAACGGGGTCTTCGACAAGCTACCCAAGAACATATATATTTTCGTCTACGCGGATGACGTCCTCATTGTAACGGTGGGCCCCACCCTGCAGAGGACGAAATTAAGGGCGCAAGCGGCAGTCTCCTCGGTGGTCAGATGGGCTGACTCCGTTGGGTTCCAGCTTTCCGCCGGCAAGAGCGTGCGCTGCCATATATGCACCACCCGGCATCGGAACAACGGACAGCCCATCATGATCAAACAGCAAGCGATACCGACCAAAAACACAATAAGGGTCCTGGGAGTGCTCCTCGATCGGAACCTATCCCTCGAGCTGCACTTCCAACAGGTGAAGAAGGACTGTCGTAGTCGATCCAACCTGATGAAGACCATCTCCCGCCCCCACCGATCCAACAACCGTGAAATCCGCTTCCGAGTAGCCCGAGCCATCATCGACAGTCGCCTATTGTACGGCGTAGAACTAACGTGCCTTGCCGCCGAGAAAGCCGTCCAACGTAAGAACAGTCTCCGGTCTCCTGCCCTCCACCCCGGCCGACGCCGCGTGCGTTGAAGCCGGTATTCTGCCTTTTCGGCTCGTCTACACCGCAGCTACCGCTACCAAAGCCGCTGCCTTCCTCGCTAAAACGTCGGGAAACAGCAGGATCTTTCTCCTCGACGAGGCGAACCGACTCCTCCGCACGGTCGCCGACGTAGATCTCCCTCCAGTGGCCAGGGTCCACTGGCACGGAAACAAAAGTTGGCAATCACATCAGATCAGAATCGACAGCCGAATCAAGGACCGCTTCAGGGCAGGAGACAACTCACTGGCTTTGCACCGGACAGTCGTCGAAACTCTCGGGGCGCACTATCAAGATCACAAAATCAGGTACACTGATGGCTCGCTCTCCAGCATCGGAGTGGGAATGGGGGTTTCAGGAGATAGTTTGGTCGTCAGCAATTCACTTCTGGCCCAGTGCTCGGTGTTTTCCGCTGAGGCAGCGGCCGTCTTTCACGCAACCACCCTTCCGGCCAATCGGCCGATCCTCATCGTTACCGACTCACAAAGCGCAATAATGGCCCTAACCGATGAAGCATCAAAGCATCCGTGGATACAAGGGACGGTAACGCATGCGCCGCCCAACACCGTATACATGTAGGTACCCGGGCACTGTGGCATCCAGGGGAACGTGATCGCCGACCACCTCGCTGGCTCAGGCCCCATTGGACCCAGGTTCTCTGACAATGTTCCGTTCCAGGACATCAAGAAATGGATCAAGCGGACGGTTCGGAGAGCGTGGGACAACGAGTGGAGGAACAATCGAACTCACCAACTACGAAAAATCAAGGCGACCACCGATCCCTGGAAGGATCGACCGAGCCTCAAGGAGCAGCAAGTGGTGTCCAGGCTGCGCACCGGGCATAGCAGGGCCTCCCATAATTTCGGAGGAACACCGTTCCGGAGAACCTGCGAAACCTGCGGAGTGCCAGCCTCCGTAGAACACATCCTCATCAACTGTGTGGAGCTCGAGGACCTTCGGGTTGCCTTCGGTCTGGAGGGAACCAGCATACGAAGTCTGCTTGGCGACGAGTCCCCGGCAGCAGACGCCCTCATCGCCTTCCTGAAGGAGGCGAATCTTTTTTACAACATTTGAGTGTTTTCTGTTTGTGCTTTTGAATTCGTTGGCCCTTTTGGTAGTGTTTTTACAATATTTTATATAATTAAGCTAAATGCCCACTTGCCAAGATTGGGATCCTCCTTTTGAGGTCCCAATTCTTTTTTGTAATTTTTAAAAGAGATGAACTAGCCTTAGGCTAAAAATCTCTCTAATAAAGAAAGAAAAAAAAAAAAAAACATAAGCAAATCATCCTCCTCGCCATTGAATTTAGATTACCTTTGTATGACTGGTTTTCGTTGTAAAGAAGTTTACTTAGCATAATTCAACGAATTTGTGTTACTTAGGAAGGTCGAAAGGCAAAAAGGTCGGAATTGTAGTAGTAGTAGAATTACGTTTTATTTTCCATGTGTTTATGTTTTGCAACTAGTTTACAGGATACCCCTTTGGGGTGCGTTTTGCAAGTATTAAAAAAAGAGTCATAATTATCAAGATCGCGTATGATCAGATGATTTGATCTCAAACAGGCGTCTCTGAACCTTTCGAGGATGGGCGTACTCCGCTCCTCCAGTGTCTGAAGACCGGGTGGATCTCAGAATTTCGAGTCTGCGGGGGACTGTTGAGGATCAACTTAAGGATCTTGTTCTGGATCCTTTGAAGTTTGAGGAGATGGTACTTTGCATAGCTCTCCCAGATCGTCGTTCCGTTCCACCTACCATCACCTAAAACTTCAAAGGATCCAGAACAAGATCCTTAAACAGATAGATAGATCATATGTAACATGATAGATTTTAACTGAAGGCAGATTATGACTACATTTCCAATTTTTGACCACAAGTGATCATATTATTTAACGTATCGCATAATGGGGCTTATGTTTCCAGGTAGAATCTGGCCACTTCCCAAAGGTTTACGAGGCCATTAAAATATTACAAACGAAACATTAGAAGTTGGTCTAGAGTATCATTGGCCATTGTATGAGATAATTGTGAAATTTAATTATTTTTTTTTTACGTTTTATGCTCACGTCATCCGGCATATTCTGAAGCGTTTTATGGGACCATTGTCGCTTTAATGATATAGCAGGTTTGTTAAATATCGCGCAACACGTCTCCCAAAATTTCGTCACAAACACACAAGCAGCTGCTAAAAGTGACTCTTTAACTGTTTCATTAAAATCAGTTAATTGCTGACGAAATGGGAGTGATTTAAATTTTAGTGTGTGTGAGCACATAAAGCTAAATTGGCAACACTACCCAACTAACAAATTGAGGTGCAGATTAGCTTATACATGCCTTTGTAAGGTAGTCTGCAGATAACATTGTTTGTTGGGTAAATTCAAAAGTTGCATGACATTATCAACATTTCTTTAGCTTGTTCTCTGCTGCTTCTGCAAAAATATGCATCCTATTTAGCTTCAATATAAATAGTCGTCAGAAGGCAACTTTCTCGTATCAATAAATATAGGGAATCACCCACTCGCTGCTTCTCCGTAATTGTAAATGTCAAATGAACATACATAATAAATATAATATTTGAAAAAACATTAATTGATTCATCTATAGGAAACACCATCTCATGAACAACATCGCATCATTCACACCAGATTGCAACATTCTGATTTAAATTTTTATTTTAGCACCATAACGCCCATCGCGATGATAGCCATAGAACGCTTATCAGTGTTCCAATCATATGTGATCTGTTGCCAATACTATATACAATCACTCCGCTAGTTCTTCCCACCACACAAAAGCTGATTGTTTGGATTTGGATGACAGCACCCGCTGTTCGTAAACAGAACTTAACCTTATCGCTTGTGCTTTGTAATAGAAAAGATCCGTTTTCAACTAGCAACGCCTTTATTTTCTACATACATGTTTTTTTTCCGCCTAACCATTCAGATCACAACTGACTAGACTTTCGTGTGAAATGGACGATCCACGAAAGCGGTCCTTGAACAGCTCACGATAGTATCGACTATCGACGAACACCTTAAATAGCAGTCCGCAGACGACGGCCACCAGCAGGACGATAACGACATACTCGATCGTCTTGTCTGCACTTGGATTCGGAATCAGCTCAGCCGATTCCTCGTGATCATCTCCGGTCGAGGTAAAATTGCGCACTATCTTTAGCGGGCACAGTGACTCTTCGAACAAGTAATCATTTTTAATGTACGGTTTGATGTCGTGCTTCTTCAGATCCTCGATCGCTACCGAGAGGGATGATTCATTCCACGGTAGATCGTAGATTCCCAGCGTTTTAAGGTTCGGGAAGTTCCGCTTGATTGACCCGATCGACATGTTTGCAATGGGGTTTCCGCTGATCATTAGCCTCTCGAGCTGCCGTTGTGAGGTAAGGTTTTCGAAATCAATCTTCTTCAAGTTGTTGTACGAGATGTCCAGGAATTTCAGCTTCCGCAGGTCGTGCAGGGTTGTGTACTGAAGGGTAAGATTAGTGCACTCGACGTTTAGTGCCGTCAGCTGTTTCATTCCGAGGAAATCGAACCGCCGCTGAAGGATGTTGAATGAAACATCCAGCGTTCGAAGCGTTTCCGAGCATTTCCGAAGATCTCCGAAGCCGGGAATGTGATTGTGAGCGAGATACAATTTTTCAATTGAACAATTGCTCCCGACCGTAACCGATTCGATTATGTTGTAGGAAGCGTGTAGTTCCGTACAATTGCCGCTGATATGAATGGTAGTCAAGTTGTTGTATTTTAGGTTGACTTTCTTCACGGTGATTTCGCTCCAGGCCAGCTCAATGAGCTGATTGTACGACGCATCCAGATATGCGAGCGAGTGAACGCCGTCCGGCGGGAACCAACTGTCGAAGCTCAACAGTACCAGCCGGTTGTGGTTCAAATCCAATGTCTTTAGGTTCTTGAGCTTGTGAAACACACCACTGGGAAGCCTGGTCAGGTTGTTGTACGATAGGTTAAGTTCCTCTAGGTCCAAGAGAAACTCAAATGCGTCGTGCTTGATGTCGAGGATTCTGTTGTGATGAAACAGCAGGTGCTTCAGCTTGGGAGTCTTGGGAAACAGATGTGTGTCCAGAAAAGTGATGTTTGTACCGGTGATTTCAACGTGCTCCAACTTGTGGCAATCGATGAAACTATTCGGATCGATTTCCTGATAGAACAGACTGTTTACCACGACAAAACTTTCCAAATTAGGCAGCGATTCAAACATCCTTGTTGGTATTCCGATTATTCGCTTGTTGCTGATCGTTAGCTTTGTAATGAAACTCCAGTTGAACTTGATGTCTGAAGTCTCGAACACATCGTCGAAATCGATGTACTCACAATGTGGAGGTTTATCGCCGTCAATTCCGAAGCAAGCATCAACAAAGTCGTCATTCCCGGCGCTCACCACCCGATTGATACCCGCAAAGGTGGCAATAAGAAGGATCGCCCTGAAAGCAGCAAACCATTTCGTCAATTGCCAGTGGATAATACAAAAAGAAATAAACCTATTCTAATATCCTACCAGTAGGCATTCATGTTTGCTATCCCTTGGAGTTGTTCTTATCACCAAAGTCGTAATACTACTGAGACGGCCTCAGCGGACAATATCAGGAGACCCTCCGGAGATGGGTTGCGATTATGCTTTACGCTGTTCAAGATGATCTACATATGAAAGAAGAACTGCGGGTAATCTCATTACGATCGTTCCCGAAGTGGGTCGATCAAAGATGATGTCCTTTGGTGAAACTTATGCCTACGAGCGCGTAAGTCACGACCGACACCTTCAAGTGCGCGTATGTTTTGTATACTCGTTTATCGTCTTGATTAGTGTTGATTGATCCGCCGACGAAGATAGCAGCAGTACGTGATATATATATGTGTGTATGTGTGGCTGGAAAAAGAATATATTGCGCTCTGGTTGTGCACCGGGGTTGGCGGGGGCCGTTGGGATGGATGGTTCCGTTGACGGGACTTAGTTGAAAATATTATTCCGATGGTACACTGAACTGATGGAATCTGCGTTGTGGTATCATTTCCACTTCGTTGACCTTGTAAAGTGTGCAGCTGGATCGTGCTCAGTACAAAGAATGATTGCAAAGTTTACGGAAGATGCTCTCACTTTCGCTATGTAGGTGTAGGGCAAACGCACTGTAGTTTAGCTACGCAGAGGTATGGGTCGGTCTGTTCGTTATTTTTTGCAGGAAGGGTTCATTTGGTGTTGCTCTAACAGCTCGATAGAGAATGCCCCGAACAGAAGCGGCAACTATTGCAGGAGTTGTTTAAAATTCTGTTTCTCATTAACTATCATCACAGAATATAAATGACCTCTGGATCAAACAATATCTGCTTTCCTTGACGTTCAATTGTAAAAAGATCTTGTTACTAGTAGGGGATCATCCATAAATGACTCTTCCTCTCCTTAGACACGGCATTTATTGGTCATCGCTAGGGGCGTCTTAGCTGTACTCAGAGTTGAAATTTTCACAGCGAGTAAATTTGAGTAACTCAAAATTAATCAAAAGTGATAAAAGTAGTCTCACATTCGTCAATAAATTAAAAATGAAATCAGTATGAACATGCATTATCCGGTATTTTATTTTTGAATTTTTGCATCAAATACTCATTAATCCGTCTGTATTTATTTTCAGTATGAATTACTCTTATAAGCGCGGTCTCTATTATGATGGGACAATAAAGTTGACAAATCAGAAAAAAAATATTTCCGATATGATCAGTAGAAGGCTTGTCATAAAAAACGAACTCATTTTTTTGCATGTTTATAACAATATAGACGAAATGCTTGCGCCGACTACCACGATACAGTGTGGTCAAGTTTACGGATTTCTCCGAAATCTACGGATTTTTAGATTTACTACGAATCTAAGGACGGACCATAAAATTTGACGGATTTTCCAGATATTTGATTTTTTTTTAAATGGGCAGAATAAATTCTACGGAATCTCAAAATGTTGGCCGCCTCCCGCTTATTACTATCAAAAATCGACGATTTTTGAAAATTTGGGGAATTTATAACTCTTAGTGCAGAACTTTGGGTAATTTCTAAGTATAAGTGAAGTACGGTCGTGTATGTATATGTTTTTCTTGCACTTAACTTTAAATTTAACTAAATTCTTGCCCTCACTTAAGCATTCAGACAAAGGTCAGAGAAGTCTATATGTAATCCCACGTATTGACGCCCTGGCAGACCTGGAATCACACCGTGCGTTCTTATCTAGTGAACGCACACAACGACTGCAGCACACACGGGAAGCCGCATATAAATTCTACAGCACCCAAAATTTTCATCGACATTGACGCACACTTTGGATGGAACCTTTTCATCAAACGACAACACTCTTCGGACACTTTCAGAAGAAAATAGAAATGTAAGTCTAAATAATAATAATAATAATGAAAATATTTTTTCAACCGACGTACTTCCAACAATTTTTTCACATAAACAGAATGCGACTGAAATTTTGATTTACTGTCAAAATTTCAATCGCATGAAAAGCCCAGCTAAAATGAAGGAAATCTATCAAAATTTATTATACTCATCCTTCTCGGTCATTCTGGCAACTGAAACAAGCTGGGACGAAAGCGTGAAAAGTGAAGAAATCTTTGGAAATGCCTTTAATGTATTCAGAGATGACAGAAATTTTCATGCAACTCAGAAGAAGTCAGGCGGTGGAGTTCTTATAGCTCTTTCGGCCAATTTTAACTCAGAACTCATCTTTATACCAAAATTTACAGAATTTGAGCATATTTGGGTGAAATCACACATAGCCGGTGAAATGCACGTGTTCGCCTCAGTGTATTTTCCACCAGACCATGCTCATAAAAGCACTTATGAAGCCTTCTTCCAAAGTGCTGAACAAATTCTATCTGAGCTTCCTCCTGAGGTGAAAGTTCACATCTATGGAGACTTTAACCAACGCCATGCTGACTTCATTCTGGACTCTGAAAAAGAATGTATCTTACTCCCAGTCGTTGGGGATAATGAAACATTGCAGTTCATTTTTGACAAAACTGCTAATCTAGGACTGAACCATTGCTATTTGGACTTACGAACGAATATTTATGAAGATTTCTGTGTGACCGAATCATTAAATCCACTGTGGAAAAATGAAGCGTTTCACACAGCAATTGAATATTCTTTATTTGTGCATGAAACCCAAAGACCCAACGACTGCGAATACGAAGAAGTCTTTGAATACAAAATAGCAGACTACGAAAAACTAAAATTTAAAATAAACAGTGTCAATTGGCAATTAATTTTAAGGAATGTAGGAAATATCGAAATTGGTATAGACGTGTTCTACAAAATTTTAATAGAAATAATTTCGGAAGAAATTCCTTTGAAGAAAAAAAGACGCAACAGAAACACACAAAATCCAGTCTGGTATAACAGACAAATAAAAAACTTGAAAAATCGGAAACAAAAAGCACATAAAATTAATAAAAAACACAATAGTAGTAATAATTTATTAATTTATTTGGATAAATGCGATCAACTGAATTTAGCTATCAGTACTGCGTTTGAAGAATGTAATGCAAAAACAGAACATGAAATAAAGTTCTGTCCAAAGAACTTCTTTAATTACGTAAAAACCAAATTAAAATCTAACAATTTTCCTCCAATAATGCATCTCGACGAAAATGTGGGTGATAGCTCGGAAAAAACTGCAATCTTTCTGCAATTTTTTTTCAAGAAATCTATAAGACATTTTCTGAAGAAGATCGCGACCGCGATTATTTTGCATATTTTTCCATAATTTTCTAGGGACATTTGCCTCAATCAACTTCAAGTGCAGGATATTTTGCAGGCTTTAAAAATTTTAGACGCCTCAAAAGGTCCTGGACCTGAAGGAATTTCTCCAGTATTTGTTAAATGTCTAGCAATGGAACTCACTTTTCCATTGTTCTGGATTTACTGCAAAACCATTGACTTTACAATGTCTCGGCATAAACTAAAACAATATTTTAAGGCATCATAAAAAAAATAGGAAAGCTGACACTGCTTAATTTTTATTAAAGACAAAATTATACTTTTAAACTCTTTTCCAAAGTTGACGAAAGAAATAAATAAATAAATTAAATAAAGCAAAACTGTATTCGAATATGTTCTTGTCTACGTTGGTTGACGAAATAAAAAAATAAATAAATTAATAAATAAATAAATAAATAAATAAATAAATAAATAAATAAATAAATAAATAAATAAATAAATAAATAAATAAATAAATAAATAACTAAATAAATAAATAAATAAATAAATAAATAAATAAATAAATAAATGAATAAATAAATAAATAAATAAATAAATAAATAAATAAATAAATAAATAAATAAATAAATAAATAAATAAATAAATAAATAAATAAATAAATAAATAAATAAATAAATAAATAAATAAATAAATAAATAAATAAATAAATAAATAAATAAATAAATAAATAAATAAATAAATAAATAAATAAATAAATAAATAAATAAATAAATAAATAAATAAATAAATAAATAAATAAATAAATAAATAAATAAATAAATAAATAAATAAATAAATAAATAAATAAATAAATAAATAAATAAATAAATAAATAAATAAATAAATAAATAAATAAATAAATAAATAAATAAATAAATAAATAAATAAATAAATAAATAAATAAATAAATAAATAAATAAATAAATAAATAAATAAATAAATAAATAAATAAATAAATAAATAAATAAATAAATAAATAAATAAATAAATAAATAAATAAATAAATAAATAAATAAATAAATAAATAAATAAATAAATAAATAAATAAATAAATAAATAAATAAATAAATAAATAAATAAATAAATAAATAAATAAATAAATAAATAAATAAATAAATAAATAAATAAATAAATAAATAAATAAATAAATAAATAAATAAATAAATAAATAAATAAATAAATAAATAAATAAATAAATAAATAAATAAATAAATAAATAAATAAATAAATAAATAAATAAATAAATAAATAAATAAATAAATAAATAAATAAATAAATAAATAAATAAATAAATAAATAAATAAATAAATAAATAAATAAATAAATAAATAAATAAATAAATAAATAAATAAATAAATAAATAAATAAATAAATAAATAAATAAATAAATAAATAAATAAATAAATAAATAAATAAATAAATAAATAAATAAATAAATAAATAAATAAATAAATAAATAAATAAATAAATAAATAAATAAATAAATAAATAAATAAATAAATAAATAAATAAATAAATAAATAAATAAATAAATAAATAAATAAATAAATAAATAAATAAATAAATAAATAAATAAATAAATAAATAAATAAATAAATAAATAAATAAATAAATAAATAAATAAATAAATAAATAAATAAATAAATAAATAAATAAATAAATAAATAAATAAATAAATAAATAAATAAATAAATAAATAAATAAATAAATAAATAAATAAATAAATAAATAAATAAATAAATAAATAAATAAATAAATAAATAAATAAATAAATAAATAAATAAATAAATAAATAAATAAATAAATAAATAAATAAATAAATAAATAAATAAATAAATAAATAAATAA